GGGGAAAGAAGGGAGTGGGGAAGGAAGGGGTAGAAGGAGGAGAGAGAGGGCGGGACCATTGTGGACTGGTGGAGAGATGGGAGAGGGGAGGGCTCAAGGGGGGACTGGTGAGGACAATAAGAGTGGGAAGAGAGGCAGGACACCATGGGGTGGGACAGAGTGGAAGGAGGATGGTGTAGGGAGGGAAAGGAAAGGTCAGGGGGGTGGGGAGTGAAGTGGAGCGGGGAGGATGGAATGGAACAGAAGAAAGTAGGGGAAGGAGGGGAAAGACACGGGACTTACGGGAAGGGAGGATGGGATATGGAGGAGAGGAGAGAAGGCCTCGATGGGAGGGAAAAGATGAGGGTGGAATAGGGATGGCAAGGGAGGAGAGGAGAGAGTGGGAGGGGAAGGATGAGGAAAGTAAGGATGGGCTGGAGCTAGAGGAGGATGGGGGTGGGTCACAAGAACGGGAAGGGAGAGACCAAGAAGGATGGATTGAAGTGCGGTGAAATGTGAGAGTAGGTGATGGGAGATGCGGAGGGACTGACGAGTGAATTGGGAGGTGAGAGCGGGGAAGTGAGTGAAGGAGGGAGGACAGAACAAGATAGGGGATTGTTGGGAGAGTCGGAGGAGAAGGACAGTAGGTGGGGGAGGGTAGAAAAGATGTGGACGGGTGTAGGGGAATGGTGAGAGGGCAAATAGAGGGGAGAGGTGCTGAGAAGGATGGGGCGGAGGGAGTGAGGAGGGTACTGGATGGCAGCAGGGAAGCTGAGACAGAGTTGGCAAGGGGGAATTGAGGAAGAGGAGGTGGGCAGAGAGGAGAAGAAGGTGAACTAGGGTTATGAGTAAGGGAGAGAGGATGGGGAAGGGTTTTAGTGAATGGGTAGGAGGAAGAGAAAGGAGAAAGGGGGTGATGGGACGGGTTGCTCTCCCTCCAACAGTTTATATAATACTGCATGAAATATATTTGTGTGGATGGTGGCTGAAATTGCAAGCTTGCTGTATTGGCACTCTGTATACCCAGCTGTGATCGCTGTCTCAACACACTGACAATCTGGAATGAACTGTAAAACCTTTACAGTCCGTGACTGCAACTTTGTTTAAGCTTGCCCAAGCTTCAGGCTATGTAATGTATTTTTATCACATACACCACTGCAACTCAGTTGGACTGTACAACTATATAAAATTCCTAAAACGTAGAAGAACTGATGTTCACACTCGTTACAAGAAAATTCTGAGCAATGTTCTTATATTTACAATATAAGCAGTCATTCAACTTGATAGAACAGAAACGGAAATAGAAATTGCTGGGAAGAACTCAGCAGGTCTAGCAGCATCTCTGGAGAGAAAACCGAGTTAATGTTTCAGGTTTGGTGACCTTTCAGAACTGATTGTAGCATGGAAACGGTTGGTTTCAATGGAAAAGATGGGGTGGAGGGAGGAGTAAAAGATAGGTGCAGATGGAGTCCAGAGATAGAGAAAAATCAGTTGGGCAAACAAAGGATTGGCTAAAGGTCAGCCTGGGAGAATGAATGGCATCTACTGGGGACAACTAAGTTTTTCCAGCAATTTCTGTTTTGTTTCTGACTTGTAGCATCTGTAGTTCTTTGGCTTTTTGTTTAGTAGCTGACAGTACAGACGTGAGTATTGCTGAAAGACACGTTTTGTGAAATCTTTTCATCTTGCACTCATCATACAATTGGAATTGGTATTCTTATGAATTCTTCTGAAGAGTGCAAGATGAAAAACTTCTTTGTCAACAATTCACAAATATCAATTACCAATTTTATTCAACATCTGGTTACATGACAGAAATTGCAAATAGAAATAAAAAGAAAAATCTAAAAGTTGAATTGCTCAAATTAAGAAAAGTAAGTGCTGGAATCTCAGATTAATAAACTCAAGAGAAAATAGCCCAGAAATTCATTGGCACTGATCGCACTTTTTGGTGCATCTGCTTTGCTTCATTTGTGTGAGAATCATAGACTTTCATCCATACTCCTTTAACATGTACAAGTCCAAGATAGCTTGCTTTCAATCCATGGATACTGCCTGACCCACTGTGATTGCCAGCATTTGTCGTTTTCAGTCATTTTTATTCTGCAATATTGAGTCAGGGACAGATATTGGCCAGAACACCAGGCATACCTCCACTACTCCTCTTCAAGTAGTGCCATGGGATCTTTTGCATCCACTTGAACAGAGGTGGGACCTCAGTTTAATATGTCATCTAGAAGAATGCTGCAATGGTCATCTATATGGCAAGCAGATCAGTGTACTCTAACTTACTGATTGTTCTCTACCCCTTGTTGACATAAATTATTTTCAAGACTAATATTTGATGTAACCCTTCATCAAACTCATAATTGCAAAATTTGATTTTGATCTTGTTCTTCAGAGTTCATTGTAATTTAACCTCTTTCACCTCAGCTGCCTCTGTACCAAAACTAAACAGTCCATCAGAGACATTCTTGATCTATAATTTTCAGCTGACTGCAGTTTTATTACCCCCCCATACTGGTTTTGCAATTCACTCTTTCTGACTTCAGTTCTGCAAACCAAAACCTGTTCTTGAATGTTGTCAAGATAAAGTTCACATATCAACCCACATACAGTCAGTCAAATATTCTACCTCATAGAGTCATACAACATGGAAACAGACCCTTCAGTCCATCTGGTCCATGCCAAACTAAAGTAGTCCCTACTTGCCTGCTCCTGGCACATATCCTTCCAAACTTTTCCTATTCATGTACTTATTTAAGTGTCTTTTAAACGTTGTAACTGTGCCCGCATCCACCACTTCTTCAGGAAGGTCATTCCACATGCGAACCACCCTCTGTGTAAAAACATTGTCTCTACACTGCCATCTCCTGTTTTCTTTCAAAGCACAGTGTGGAACAATTCACTTTTATTTTCTTGTGCTCCTGTGGGTGTCTGTGTTTGTGTTTCCCTTTTATGCTCTGATCCCATTTTAATTATGATGTTTCAATGTTCCATTTTTCTTAAAAGCTTACAACCAAAATGTCAATTTGTCTACTTCCTATAAGGATGTTTTCAGTTTCTTCTGTTTTGGAAGATTTAACATTTGTAGTTTGTTTTGTTTTCAAGGATTTTAGAAAAAATTGTTTGATCACCACGTTGTTCTGAGAGTAGTAAATGTTATCTAGGAAAGTAATTTGAAAGTAACTATTTTTTTGGGTGAAACCTTTAATGGCCAGTTTCTCAACATGCTTTTAAATAGGTGACATCTCCAGAGAGTTACAGTTTCTCCTAAACTATAAATTTGAACAATTATTGTTGTTATTGACTTACGTTGATAATGAAGAAATTAGTTCAATGGTCAGAAATAGCACATCTCCAGAGAAAGCCTGTGTCCATATGCAGCGAGACCCAGACAACTTTAAGACTTAGGCTGAGAAGTAGCAAGTATCATTCTTGCTATACAGGTGCCAGGCAAGGACCATCTCCAATAACTGAGAATCTAACATTGTCCCTTGAAATTGAATATACTTTCTATTGCTAAATCTCCCATTATCAACATTCTTGGGGTTATCATTGATCAAAAACTGAACTGGACCTGCTACAAAAGTACTGTGGTGACAGGAACAGATCAGAGGCGAGGAACCCTGCAGCAAGTAACTCACTTCCTGGTTCCCCAAAGTCAGTCCAAGGCACAAATCAGAAATGGTGTAGATACTCTTCACTTGCTTGGCTGGATTCAGCTCCAACAACACTCAAGAACTTCAACACCCACTTGACTGGGACCCCATCCACCGTCCACCATCCACCATCCACCATCTACCATCTACCATCTACCATTTCCCATCTCCAACTTTCACTTTCTTCACCAACGATGTACAGTGGCAGCAAAGTATACCATTTACAGGGTTCACTGCAATAACTCACCACAGTTTCATCCAAATCCCCTTTGTAAACCTGCAATCTCCTGCATCCAGAAAGGCAAGGGTAGCAGATGCATGGGAACATCACAGTGTTATGCCATCTCATCTTGGAACCATATCACCGTTCCTTCACTGTCACTGGCTCAAAATTCTAGAATTCCCTCCTTTACAGCCCTGTCTGTCTTCATACATTTCAAGAGCTTCAGCAATTCAGGAAGACAGCTCACCATCACCATTAGGGCTTGGCTTAGCCAGTAAAGCCCACATCCCATAAACAAATAAAAAGAAACATATACAACACTGAATAATATTAACAACAAGAAGAAACATATTAGTCAAACCAAATTGACTGAAAACTTATGCACATATGGACTTTTAAAAATCAATATCAGCTATGACTCAGATTGCAATCTTCTCTTTGAGCCACAAGACTCTGGGTCCAAGTGTCTCTCCAAGGCTTCAATGTTAGTGTCAAGGCTGACACTTCCATGCAGACCAAGCAAGTGTTGCATTGCTGGGGGTGCTGATATTAGGGTGGCCTGTCGAGTGAAGCACTGTTTGCTCTTCTCTAGTGGATGCAAAATATCCCAGGGCAGCACTTAAAGAGAGCAGGGAGCTATCACTGGTGTCCTGGTCAATATTTCTATCCCTCAGTCAACATCACAAAGGGAATAGATGATCTGGTCATTTTCACATTGTGATGTGGGAGCTTGCTGTGTGCAAATTGGCTGCTGCATCTCCTACATTACAAATATGGCAACGTAAAAATGTTGTAATGCTCTTTGAGACATCCAGTGGTATTGAAAAATTCAATATAAATGAAACTTTTTTTTTCTTTTATGCATTACAGGAAAGGCCATGACCACACATGCTCTGTTTAATTTGTACTAGGTGAACATACCCACTAAAATGTACGGAATGGGTAAAAGTCGAGCTGCAAACCTGAGATACATTGAATCCTGTGCTCGGAGAATAGTGGCGGTCTCAAATGGACACAAGATAGTTACAAAGAAGAGCACCACGCCTGTGCAAGCTGCCAAAAGCATTCACAGGATATTCCATTCAAACACAAAGCCAAACCCATCCCTGCAGGTGAATTCAAGCATTGTTCTAATGGATAGTATATCAACTCAATAACTATCGTGCTGATTTGTACCAGATGGAACTTTGCAGTGTGTTTAACACTGGGTAACAGCATACAATTAACTCAGAGATAGTCAGAACTGCACATGCTGGAGTCTGAGATAACAAGGTGTGGAGCTGGATGAACACAGCAGGCCAGGCAGCATCAGAGGAGCAGGAAAGCTGGCGTTTCGGATCTGGACCCTTCCTCAGAAAATTAACTAATAGTGGGAGGCAATTTCTTCCCAGCACTACATATAGAAAAAGACAAATGTTTAAATTGCAGATGTATATTTTTACTACATGAAGCAGAAATGAAAAAAATAACAATTGGTCTTCAGTCTTGCATTTACTTTTCAGCCCGTTGACTATAGCACATTTTAGAAATAACCTGACCACTGTCTTATTTGCAATGTAGGTGCTGTCAAGCCCAGAATTCCTGGCTGGAGGCACGGTTATTAACAATTTGAAAAACCCAGATCGAGTGTCGACTGGTGGAGATGAAACACCAGAGGGTAAGGAGACAATTTGATTACTGTGTTGTGTATGAGTATTGGGTACTGAAAGACAAAATCATCGCTACCAACACATGGTTGTCAGAGCTTTCCAAACTGGCACACTCATTTCCAATTCAAATGCAATCTTGTTAAATTTTATCTGATAATGCTCCAAGAAGCATCTTTTTCCCATGCCGAAGGAAAAAGAAGGTGCCACATAAGGTGATGGCATAGTGATATTATCGTTGGACGATTAATCCAGAAGCCTGGGTAATGTCTTGGGGACCTGGGTTCAAATCCTGCCTTGGCAGATGGTGGAATTTGAATTCAGTAAGAATCTGGAATTAACAGTTGAATGATGACCATGAACCCATTGATTGATTTTTATTGTCATGTGTACCAAAATACAAGGAAAAGCTTTGTTTACGAGCGGTACAGGCAGATCACAGCAAGCAAAGGATGTACAGATCAAAAAGACTTAGAGGCATAGAGGTTACATTGCAGGTTACATTATTTGATCAGAAATCACACAACATCAGGTTATAGCACAACAGGTTTATTTGAAAACACAAATAAACCTGTTGGACTATAACCTGGTGTTGTGTGATTTCTGACCTTGTCCACCCCAGTCCAACACCGGCATCTCTACATCATACATTATTTGAGAATAGAGTCCACTCAACAGTCCGATAACAGCCGGAAAGGAGCTGTTCCTGAACCTGCTTGTGCGTGTGGTCAGGCTTCTGTATCTTCTGCCTGACGGAAGAGGTTGTAGGAGGTCATTGCCAGGGTGCGATAGGTCTTTGATGATGTTGGCCATCTTTCCATGTCAGCGAGCCATGTAAATGGAATCCATGGATGGAAGGTTGGCTTCTGTGATGGTCTGGACTGTGCACACAACCTTCTGTAGTTTCTTATGGTCCTGGGTAAAGCAGTTGCCATTCCAGGCCATTATGTACCCGAATAGTATGCTTTCAATGGTGCTTCTGTAGAAGTTAATGAGGGACCTTATAGACATGCCAAATTCCTGAGCTGCCTGAGGAAGAAGAGGCGTTGTTGTGCCTTTTGACTGTCGCATTTACATGGGAAGTCCAGGACAGGTCGTCGGTTATCATCACTCTGAGGAATTTGATGCTGTTCACCCTCTCAACCTCAGTTCCATTGATGTAGATGGGGGCATGTTCTTTTCCTTTCTTTTCAATTGTTGGGAAAAACCCACCTGGTTTGCTAATGACCTTTAGGGAAGGAAACTGGTGTCCTTACATGGTCTGGCCTTTACGTGACTCCAGACGCACAGCAATATAGTTCATTCTTAATCTGACCTCTGGAAATTAGGGATGGGCAATAAATACTGGCCTAGCCAGCAATGCCCTCATCCTGCTTTGTATGACTATATTGGAGAAGTTCAGGAATATGTTGAGCACTATACATTGGCATCAACATTTTCTCTGAGCTGACACGCATGAGCCTCGGAAGTCCATGCAGTCAGTAAGAAAATTAGAGTGAACGCTGCTTGACAGCCAAGTCTCTCAAAAAGCCACCATCAGAAAGAAGATCCAACAATGGATCAGCTGTGTCATCTCAGCCTTCTACAAGCCGCAACAGTGTTCGACAACAGTGACCTACACAAGTCAACAAAAGTCCTTGTGTGCAAAGCAGTTGCCATCACCCCACTTCAGTACTACATTGAGACCTAATTGGACTGTGCATCAGTATCATATAGGGATGTGTAGGTTAGGTGGGTTATAGGGGGAATAGGTCTGGGTGGGATGCTCTGAGGGTCGGTGTGGACTCGTGGGGCTGAAGGGTCTGTTTCCACTGTAGGGATTCTATGATCTATGATTTCCTCAGATACATTTGGCGAATTCAATGAAAAGACTGTTGAACAAATGCTCTGCCCATTCAGAGAAAATTCCTGCAAAATATGTACAATGGACTGTACTCTGTCCAGATGACTGAAAGTTGTTTCTGCCACCAGGTCGTTTTCTCAATTCTTAAATAGCCAGCATTCCAGGGTAGGACAACGAAAAGTTTTCAAAGACACTCTGGGACTCTCCATGAAATCCAGCAGCAGTAACATTAATGCCTGGGAAGAGTTTGCTATCAAACATTCAAAATGGTGACAACATATCCAACAAGATTCATCAAACATCTTAATATTGAGGCAGAGCAGCATCAAAGAAGGAAAAAAAAGGAAACAAATCCCACTGCATTGTTGGACATCCGTCCTGTGTCCTAAAAGATGGTTGGATTGAGAATTGACCTTTTCAGTCACATGAAGACCCCTGGCAGAAACATGCACCGCTGAGTAGATATCATCCTGAAATCGCAGGAAAACTGACAGGTCATTCCAGATTTTTCCCTGACCCCACCATAACATTAAATGATCACTTCATGTAGAAAATCCTGATCATTGTTAAGCCCTACTCTACTCAGATTTTGCTGTTTCCAGTAAACCTGACATGCTCCATGAGCCTCAGAGGATGAGCCAGTTACTTACATACTTGCTTGTCAGTGAGATCCTAGATGTTCAGCTGTCAGAAGTAAATACCTCAAGTCCTGTAGATATTCTCCCCACAGAGGGGTGACATGATGGCTCAGGGGTTAGCACTGCTGCCTCACAGCACCAGGGACCTGGGTTCAGTTCCTCCATTGGATGGCTGTCTATGTGGAGTTTGCACATTCTCCCCATGTCTGCGTGGGTTTTCTCTGGGTGCTATGGTTTCTTCCCACATTCCAAAGATGTGCAGGTTAGGTGGATTGGCCATGGGAAATGTAGGGTTTCAGGGATAGAATAGGGGATAGGTTTGGGTGGGATGCTCTTTGGAGGATCAGTGTTGATTTGATGGGCTGAATGGCTGACTTCCACACTGTTGGGATTCTATGATTGTTTGCGTCAATTCTGTTCCTTTGCTATTCCTGCCACATATCAACTTCAACTGAATGTTCTACCACCTGCTCTCCTATTTAAATAAGGGCAGCTGCAATCCCAAAAGTCTCCTGGCACCACTGCTGACTGATAACACAGGCTGTGAAATTTGCAGAAATGTGGCGATCATCCAATGGTAAGAGAAGGGAAAGAAACAAATAGACTGACCATCCAGCTGTGGAACAGAAGGCAAAAGGAATGAATATGACGGGAAAGAAAAGAATCATGGGAGAATAATAGTAAAAGGTAAATAAAAATAAATATTAAGGGAGATGTTAAGCATAAATGGAAATATACTATAGTCACCGTGTTACAAAATGTCAATCATTGGTTTTGGAATCTAATGTTAAAGAACAGCCTGTCCTCGACAACCCTAAAAACAATACCACTAAAGTGTGCAATCATATGACTGGGACAAAGCAAAGTCAGAGTCTTTGCTATAAATATGTCTTCAACCACTTAAAATCTATTTTTGGCCAACCAATGAACAGGGGTGTGTGTTTGTTCAGCAATGTAAATTACATAAAATATAGTAACAAGGTGAATGAGGATAACATTTTAAAACGTGGGAAACGAAACAGATCATGTACATTTACAATATTTTAAATGAATTATCTTCCTCAAGGTCTGGACTGGGTAGAAGTAAGATAATGATCCATGAATTTTGTATCTGGATTATTACAGCTGA